GGAAGGCAGCGGGGAGGAAAAGGCCCGGAGATGCCCCTGGAGGAGGGGCTGCAAAGCCAGCCCAGGGAGCTGTGAGGAGGAAAGAGCCGTCCTGTGCCGGGAAGGCGGCCGGAGCTTGAGCCGGAGCTCCGAGCTGGTGGTCCCTGAGCAGCCTCCCAGCAGGGAGAAGCCCTTCAGGTGCTTGGAATGCGGGAAGAGCTTCAGGCAGAGCTCCCACCTCCTCAGCCACCAGCACATCCACACTGGGGAACGGCCCTACACGTGTAGGGAATGTGGGAAGAGCTTCAGGGAGAGCTTGAAGCTCCTCAGGCACCAGCTCATCCACACTGAAGAACGGCCCTACACGTGTAGGGAATGTGGGAAGAGCTTCAGGACCAGCTCGCACCTGATCCGACACCAGAACATCCATACTGGAGAACGGCCCTACACATGTGGGGAATGTGGGAAGACCTTCAGGCAGAGTTCCCACCTCCACAACCACCAGCTCATCCACACTGGGGAACGACCCTACAAGTGCTTGGAATGTGGGAAGAGGTTTCGTACCAGCGGGAATCTCCTCCTTCATGAGCGGATACACACAGAGGAGAGGCCCTTCCGCTGCACCGACTGCGGGAAGGGCTTCAACCAGAACTCCCACCTCGTCACCCACCAGCGCATCGACACCAGGGAGAGGCCCTACAAGTGTGGGGAGTGTGGGAAGAGCTTCAGCGACAGCTCCAACTTGACCAGACACCAACGGACCCACCAGTAAAGGAAGCCCCTGTGAGTGCCCTGACTGCAGGAAGAGCTTCATCTGCTGCTCCCACCCCAAATGACCCTCCTGATGGTGAGGCAACCCCTGGAGTCCAGTGACTGTCAGTCCATCCCTTTCTACCAGAAAGGGCCAGTCCCTTTTGCCAGGGGCAGGTTGTGCCAACAGAACCCTTCTTGGGGGGTGTGTGGAGATTCCTGCCTTGGCTGGGGACCCCCCAAGGTCACTGCTGGAGGTTGAGAGCAGAGATCTCCCCACAAGCGTTGGTCTGGGGGAGTTCCATCCATCTCTAGGTAATAATTCTTTGGTGCCAGCTTGAGTAGAATTGCTTCAACAATTGCTTTAGTGTAGAGCACTGTCCTATCTTATGCTGTACTACTGGTAGTTTTAGTGTTTCTATTGTGCAGTAAATAATTCTGATGATGATCTTTTGTCTGATTATTTGTAACACTAAATAATTAATTTCTGTCAGTAGATCTGATTTGCCATCCTTAAAACCTGTGGGACAAAAGTGGTTCTGTCCCACGTCTGTAATTGCTCTGAACTGAAGGTGTTGGCATAACCCAAGGCTGAGATTGGATCCAGCAGCCCCAGCACCCCACAGTCAGTTGAGAGCTCTGGCGGGCACCACCGTTTCCCCACTCCCCTGTGCCCGAAGACCCCCATGGGACCATCAGACCTGCCAGGCCACTCCCCCCTTTTCCACCCTTCTCCCTTTTCCCTCCAATTTTTCATGGTCCTCAATCCCCAGCTCAGTTTAGGGGTCCCAACCCCCACATTTTCCCCTCTCTCCCCGTTTTCCACATCATCCCCTACTCCCCAGCCCCCTCATGCTCAGTTTGGGGGTCCCACCCTGCCCTTTCCCCACTCTTCTCAACTTTCCTACCCATTTCCCATGAACCTCAGTGCCCCTTCCCCTCTGCTTTTGGGTGTCCCTCTCCCCTCCCACTCAGTTTGGGGTCCCACCACCCCTTTTATCCCCTCTGACCCCCCTTTTCCCACCGACCTGCCCCTTCCCACCCCCGCTCACCCGAGAGCTCCTCGCCCGCAGCCGGGGGGGCTCCCAGCACCACCAGTGCCCAGAGAAGCCCCCCCAGAAAAGGTTTTGGGTGGGGACCTGGGTGGGCTTTGAGTGTGTTTGGGGGTTTTTTGAGAGGCTGTGGGGAGGTTTTGGGGGGTCCCAACCCCTTTTGGGGTGAGCTGGGTGCCTATTGAGGGGCATGTGCCCTCCCAAAGCCCCCCCAGAGCAGGTGACACGGGGGGAACACAGAGGGGTCCCCATTCCTAATCCATCCCAGGGTCGGTTCTGCCCCCTCAAACTCGGCTCCACCCCTTGGGATCCTCCAACCCCCCCCAGTGCCACCCAGTAACCAGAACTGTGGCAACTGGGATCATACTGGGAGCAGCTGGGCCCCTGCTGGGGTCATACTGGGATCATACTGGGAGTGACTGTAATAATACTGGGAGTGTGTGGGAGGGACTGCAGCCATACTGGGGATGAGTGGGATCAAACTGGCTTTGTACTGGAAGTGTCTGGAAGTTCCTGGGATCATACTGGGGGTGACTGGACTCATACTGGGATCATACTGGGAGCAACTGGGACCATGCAGGGGGCAAATGGCATCATCCAGGCAGGGGCTGACAGTTCCTGGGGCCATCCTGGACTCAGACTGGGAGTCCCTGAGAGGGAAAGGAACCATACTGGAGGGGTGGGAGTAACTGGGACCACGTTGGGGGCAACTGGGATCCTATTGAGAGTGACTGGGATCACAGTGGGAGTGACCAGCGCCATACTGGGATCATAGTGGGAGTGACTGTAAGGGACCAGGATCATACTGGGAGCGACTAGAACTACACAAGGGGGAAGTGGGAGCCAGTGGGGCTAGGCTGGAAGCCAAGTGAGAACACACTTGGAGCAATTGGGATCAAGCTGAAAGCAACTGGGAGCAACTGGGAGTGACAGGGTGCATGCTGGAGGCAACTGGCCTGAACTGGGATCACACTGCTGGGAACTGGGACCATCCTGGGGCAAGTGGAAGTCACTGGGTGTCGTGGGTTTCTGTGGGTGGGTTTTGGTAGTGGGGGGGCTCCAGGGGTGGCTTCTGTTGGAAGCTGCCAGAAGCTTCCCCTGCCCCGCGGAGCCAATGCCAGCTGCTCCAGGACGGACTTGCTGCCGCTGGCCAAGGCCGAGCCCATCAGGAGCAACAGGAACAGCTCTGGAATAACAGATTTAGGGACAGAAGGAATTGCAGCCAGGGAAGAGCAGAGTGGGAACGTGGGAACAGCAATGCAGACCCCAAGGGTGGTGCAGAAGGAGGGGCAGGAGGTGCTCCAGGCCCTGCAGCCCCTGGGGGAGCATCGGGGTGCAGAGACCCCCCTGCAGCCCCTGGAGGCTCCCACGCTGGAGCAGGGGGATGCAGGAAGGAGGCTGTGACCCCGGGGCAGGCTCAGGATGGAGCAGGTCCTGGCAGGGACCTGCAGCCCATGAAGAGGGAAGCCCAGGCTGGAGCAGGTTTTTCCCAGCAGGACTCGTGGCCCCTGTGGGGGACCCACGCCAGGTCAGCTCATCCCTGAAGGACTGACCCCATGGAGGAGGGACCCACGGGACAGCAGGGTGGGAAGAGCTGCTGCCCGAGGGATGGACTCACTGCAGAGGTCCATCCAGGACTGTCTCCCGTGGGAGGGACCCCACGGGAACAGGAAAGGATCCAACTCCTCTCCCTGAGCAGTGACAGGAACAACAACTGACTGTAACCTCCATTGCCATCCCCCTGCACCGCTGAGGGGAGGAGGGAGAAGGTGGAAGGAGGGATGGGGGGAAGGTGTTTTTCAGACTGTTTTATTTCTCACTTTTTGGCTTTTATCCTCTCAGTAATAAATTTAAGTCTGTTTTGCCCGTTAGGAAGCGACTTTCTCCCCAGCCTTATCTCTACTCGGGAGGGAGCCCCCGGTGGTCTAGGGGAAAAGACACTGCACTGTCACTGCAGAGACCCGGGTTCGATTCCCGGTCGGGGCCCCTCCCCGGGCAGATGGAGCTTGTTAGCCCTGTAAGGCAATCCATCTACGTCCTGAGGACCTCGCTGCCACCGTCCAAGCGTGCTTGGCCCCGGCAGATGAACCTCAGGATTAAAGGGTGGGCTCAGTTCCGCGCACACT